TTCCCCTTAGGGGCAGAATTTTTGCCTTAAGGTATTCTTTCTAACCCTCTATACTCCACGTGCTTTCATTACTAAAATAAATTTGTCAGGTGATATGTAGTATATGAAAAGCTTGTGGAGGAAATATATTACTTGTTTTAAGTGGCGTTCCTAATAAAAGTTTAATGTACTGTACGTTATTGCATATATTTGTCTGACCATCAAGTTTCAACATATTTTACACTTTAACAACAGCCACAATTTAACTACATCCAATATTAAAATCTTATCTTTCCTCAAGGAATATGAATCTAAAATATTTTGTATGTTCAGTGAATGACACATATCCCTTTTACTAGACCTATAATCTTCCTTTTTACAAATTATTAATCTGTGATCAATATAACATTGCTTATATTTTCCTGTCTGGACATTGTATATAATGAATAGCATACGTATCATTAGTTAATTGTTTGTGGTGGCCAACAGAACAGATTTCAGAGTAATTTTTTAGACTTCTCTTCACAGCCTGTTATTGAAATGTATATTGATTCTCTTTGCACAGAAGTTAAATTAAACAGTCTACCATTAAGGTCAAACATTATATTATTTTTAACTATAATATATTATGTGTAAGATGTGTCATCATTAGATAATCCTCTTAAATATATAATGCTTTGCCATACTCCACCATTTGGTCATTCATTGCGCTCCCTTATCACTGCTTATCTGTGCATAGCATATCCATTCAGCCTTTATAATAGACCGTTTTATATATATATATATATATACATATATATAAAATATATATAATATATATATATACATATATATATATATATGTATGTATATATATGTATATGTACCGTATATGTATGTATATATGTATGTATGTATATATATATATATATATATATATATATATAAATCAAGACAGCCATTAACACTGTTAAATTATATAATAAACATCAAAGAAAGGTAAATACAGTGTTAGAATAAAGGACATAATAATACATCGTGTAGCATAGCTCTCAACGAATGTAGTCCTGTAAATAAATGAATAAAGAAGTTGTGTAATAAAATGCCTCTGGTGGGACCTGGTTTTTGAACACACTACAATTTAAAAGACTGTACAAACGATAGATCCAAAAGTAAACCTCGTAACCAGAACTATCAAAAACCACTCAAGATTTGTTTTAATATTATATCTACTAAGTTTGATATAGCAATCCATTGAGGAAGGAAAAAAAATTATCATATTGAGTCCTGATACCATGTTAGAAGCCTATTGTTAATCATTGACGTAAACACAACTAAATGGAGGTTATTCTAAAAGCGTATCGTCAATAAAATTGGTACAGAATTGTACATAATCAACAGTTAATGAACCAGAACATGGCTTATAAAAATACTTTTCGATTGTCCTGCAAATAGTTCAAGTCATACAGACTCTCGTGCCGCAAAATGTTGTCTATGTGGTTTGTTTTGTTCACTTGTTTTCATCAATAGCCTTCTTTTCATGTACAGTACATTATACAAGGTCTTCTGCGCTATCAAATTCCGTATATGTATTGTTCAGATCACTGTGATTCGTTAATAGCCTTCTTTATTACAGGAAAGGTAAAGGTAGGAGAATAACCCATAACTTGCAGCGTCATTGTGCTGAATTGCGTATGGGCGGAGTCCGTGACTACCTAGCAGCCGTAAAGAGGCGCTTCTTGTAGATACATGTTCACATCATCCCACGACAGGGGCTGAAATGAACCATAACATCATCGGGGTAACCCCTACTTTAAAGGGCACACGAGCCAGATGTATACACTGGACCTCAATTTTAAGTCCTTGTCCGATAAGACTTGGTTCTACCAACCGAAACATGGGCGAGGAGCGGCTGGAACCAGCACCGATGTTAAGGCTGTAGCTAGCAGCGCCCCTGCCTTACCACCTGGCCACTCGACTCGCCATAGAAGTAATAAAAATTTACAAAAAATACATTTAGATATTCTTATGCGTATATAGGTCTACTGTGTCAATACGGAAAACGTTTTGAATTATCAAAAATGTAATAAGTCAAGAATGGAAGCGTACGGTAGGATATTTTTATACTGTTATCATTTACAATGATAAAGCGACCCACCAATGATTTACGACTGTTGAACTGTTGACACGTCTGCACCTCATAGGTCATGACCGCTGGCGTAGATCTAGTACTATAATTTCAAATTGCAAAAAAAAAAACAAAAACAAATTTTCAAATAGTAACTCGGCGGAGGTTATTTAATTATAAAAATAATTTGCCCTTCAAACAAATTAATTATAAACCAGGGCTATATAATAAGGTAGGCCTAATTGTTTTTGGAATAAACTGTTGATCGGAGCGCATTTATTGAAATAGTTGTTGTCAGCCTGACAATGGTGACTAAATTGTCTACCTCCAAAGATTTGTGCGATTCGTCGTTGCTTGAAATAATAGATCAAGGTGATTAACGTCCGTCTTGTAAAATATATTCCACTCCAACTGTCTGTTATAAAGTGTTCTTTTTTGTACTGTATTTATTATCCGTGGTCTAATGGTTACACGCTCGTGTTTACAGCGAGAGGTCGCAAGTCGCATTTTATTACACAATGTCTTTATTCATATATTTACAGGACTACATTCGTTGAGAGCTATGCTACACGATGTATTTTATGTTCTTTATTCTAACACTGTATTACTTTGCTTCTCTTCAACCAGGAGTATTATAGTGGGGTACCTGTTAATTGGGTTAAACAAAATGCGCTGATGTAGCTGCTGCAATCCAATAACCGGGGTATTGATAGTGTGAGGTACAATTATCTGCTATAGTACTGTAGTTCAATATATTACACTCACAATATAAATTTTCACGCCCGAAACTTTGACTCACTGAAATACCGTAATGTGTCCGGCGGGTGATATTTTATTACATGGTATTGCTATCTAGTTATTATTTTTGTTTATTTATTTATGAGCGGACCCTTGCAAATGCGTTTTAATGTAAAATATATTTTACAAATGACAATACATCATACTGATAATTGAATCATATCATATATCATATTCATGTCATATTATATATCTTGAATCATATATATTTCATATCATATCATATCACAAATATCATATCATATATCATATTATATTATTTCATTAAAGCCAAACGTACCTCCGTATATATATAACTTTAGAATAGGTACCGGTAATACAGTATATGTATCCTTAAACAGTATGAATGCATTGAGAATGTAGCGATATTTTTCACTTTTATTTATTTCAAGTGATGGACGTGTGTTATTTTTGCACTGTGTATCATCATTTAATGCTAGGTGCTGTAGTACCGTAACCAAAATAATAATATTTGCCTTTCCAATAATATATTCTACCCTGGAAATAGTCGAATAACCAACGCATGCGCACAATATCATTACCTTTGTTCAATTCGTCGGTTGGGGTAGTACAGTATATGGCCACACCATTCTTCAACTCATGCGTCAACTATTAAAAATAATTCAATAAAAACATATTAAAAGATTAATGAGTGATAAAAAAGGCATGTTCGTATGCAACTAAGACTTCAGTAGCGGAAAAAGAAGCGCATGCCTAATAATTGGTCGGAGACCGTACGAAGCGACACAACACATATATAGGTAAATATATATTTAAATTTAAATCTACGCAACATATATAGGCCTATATCTATATATATATATAATATATATATATATATATAACTATTTTTTACGAAATTATGAAATATCAACCAATAGGTGTTTTTGTTCAACTTTATTTAACTATATATATTATGAAATACTGTAGTTGGGGTAGCCGTGTTAGCTTATTGCTTATATATAGCAATTAAGTTTCATATAGCTTATTGGTCTCTATTGTATTGATTATTTATCCACCACCTCTGTATCACACTGTTATTGGCCTGCTTACCTTTTTTCCCCCTTTTTTTTTGCTTACTGCTTGTTATTGTGTATTATTATCGTGCTTGGAGTCTCACTCTATTGTCGCACTTGTATATAAGCGATTGACGATGTTTCATTTGTACATTCACCTTAAGAAGTTTACTCAGTGTGAACGAAAGCTGGTGCTAATAAATATTTGTTAGTCTATAAAGTGCTGCATGTCATTTTACTATATGTATTGTTCACGTTTTATGATAACGTCGGATTACCTTACTTCATATATACTTATACTGTATATATATATATATATATATATATGTATGTATATATATATATACATAGTGATCAGAATTATCAATGAAATTGATGCAATTGATGCTCTTCCACGTATGCCTCGGTTATAGAATGGTTGACAGACATGAAGGTACTGCAAGACACTTTGACTTAATTGAGACATTGAATTTTATTGGTACGAAATTTTCGGTAACACCTGCTACCTTCATCAGCGTACGAGTATCTAAAGATATATGCAAACAGTATATACATGTTAACAATAGAGATAACGATGGATGTAGTTATTGCACATAAACAATGTGAGTCACCATTAATAGAGCCTTAAATGAAGCGGAACATTCACAAGAACAGTGGATACTGTGGGATTAAGATAATAAATTGAACTATTACGAAGAATTAGCCATCAAAATAATTATGGAAGAAATATGTGAGAATTGATAAATCAATCAATATATTATAATAAAATATGTATAAATAGAGGCCTATGATAAATTACATGAATGAAAAACGGGAGCTGTACTAAAGAGTTATGAAACATTATTTAGTGAATGTAAAGCCTGAAGCAAAACCTGTCCTACTTTATGAGTCCTAAGTTTCAAAATCTATTTTATTTCAGCACATCTTCTTTCATTAAGTGATCTGAAGTTGTTATCTATAATGATACATCTCATATTATTAATGGTGTGTCTAGCTCCGTTGAAGTGTTTATCTAAAGGAAGATTATAATTGTTTCTTATAGAGCTTTTGTGGTTATTAATCCTTTGTCTAAATGTGCAGCCACTCTCCCCGACATAACACACCCCTTTACATACGTACACCATATGAGATATGTGATATTATGGGCATTGAAAGTGAGCGAAGGGGGTCTGATGGTGATTTTAGTGTTGGGTACATGGATGAGACTGTCTGTTATGAGGATATGGAAAATATTACATCTGGGATAACCGCAAGGTTTCTTACCAGGTTGGGGACGGGAAGATTGGAGGATTTTGAGCAAAGATTTTAGGTTGGGGGGTTGTCTTCTAGCAAATACGGGGGATTCTTTAAAAGTTTCAGTGTCAGGTATATTATTTTGGATAATTTCGAAGTCGTCCTAGAGTTGTTTGTATAGGTGACTGAGTTGAGTGTTGTGGGTGAAAACCGTAGGGAGCCGCTGAGATGGGGTTTTGGGTTTGTATTGTAGAAGTTGATCTCGGATTTTGTTGGATGTTTTGGCCAGGTATTTCTTTATTATTTTGATGGGATATTTATTTTGTGTAAATTTGTTGACGAGCGTGCCAATGTGTTTGTCATGCATGTTCTTCTACGGAGGAGCATAGGCCTATTCGTTTCTCTGAGAGCTTGGCTGTAGAAGCGAGTGTTTGATGCTGTCAGGGTGTCCACCCTGACAAGGCTAGGCTAGCCTAGGCCTAAGGCTCTTTTTTCACTATCCCCTGATTTACCTAAATTTATGTTGTGACTATTCATTCCTCATTTATTGCATGTGTACAAATAGGCCTTTATATAAAACATTTAATTACTCACTTGTTTTAATAATTAATTCATTATAAACGAACAATGCTCGATCGCGGATGCGATGAAAATTGCAACCCCCAACAAAAAAGTTACCAGCAGTTTGCTAAACATTCCAGTGATCTGATTGGTCAATATTAGGGTAGTCGCCACTACGCCAAATTCAGAAATTGGGGTTGTCGCAGAAGCTGTCACAACGACGATTTTGCCAGTAAGGTTTGTGAGCATGCTCAGATGTCTGTTACGCTCTATTAGTTCGTAGTAGACTGGCCGCGTAGTCAAAACGAAAAATGCCTATTTTATGCTCACTAACACATCGAGAAAAGCGATCAGATTAGGTGAGTGCTCGGTAGTGAACTTGATGTTGTTGTCTGCGCTGTTAATATGCTGTCTCTTATACACATCTAGATGTGTATACCCGTCGAGGAGAGCTGCCCTCCCACCGTCAGGGAGAAAAAGCACAATTCGTCGGGGAGAAAAAAATATTGTATGTATTTTTTACATATTAGTAGACTCTAAAGTCGATTAAATAAGCCCTTGAAACCCCTAAATTATCATAATTTTCGGGGGCTTCGCCCCAGGACGACTTTCGGGACCTTTTAATCGAAGCTCGACCACGCCCACTTTGCTTTGCCACCCCTGTGTCTGCGTTGTTAATAGGGAGTTTTCAATGCACGACGTTAACTTTAACGTTAGTACCCAACATGGAGCGCGATAGCTTCGCCCCTTTTGTAAACAAATCGAAATACGCATGCGCAAACCCGTAACTAACGCACGTCGAGCACATAAAATCCTGAAAATAGGGAGTTTTCGTTAGTACCCAACATGCAGCGCGATAGCTCCGCCCTTTTGTAAACAAATCGAAATACGCATGCGCAACCCGTAACTAACGTACGTCGAGCACGTAAAATCCTGAAATTAACGTATTCCGCAATGCAAGATAAATAAATTATGACGTAATCCATTAAAGTTAAGGTTAACGTCGTGCATCGAAAACTCCCTAATATGCGTTAGGAACGTTATGACGGAGTTTTCGAAATGAGGCCAGATAAAAAAGATATCATCTATGTATGAAGTGTACATGAGAGGAGTGAGGTGGTAATTGTAGGTGAATTTGTTTTCAAATTCTGACATGTAGATATTGGAGTATGCCGGGGCCATTTTGGTACCCATGGCAGTTCCTTAGGTCTGTTTGTAGTGCTTGCTGTTGAATTGGAAATGATTGTGTGTGAGGATGAATTTGATAAGTGCTGCGATATTTTGTGAATGAGATGTTATTGTAGGGCTGAATTTCAGGGCTCTATTCATGGTGACTTACATTGTTTATGTGCAATAACTACATCCATCGTTATACATGTATATACTGTTTGCTGTAATACCGTATATATCGTTAGATACTCGTACGCTGATGAAGGTAGATATAAAATTATAATGAATAAATGTAGTTGGCAATACTAGCAACGTATAGTGCTTGATACACGTGATAATGCAGAGCGTAAATATTGAAAATGTAGAACTTTTAGAACTGGCTATTATCACTCTACAGACTGTTTCATGCTAATACAATCTTCAGGAGTGAGAGAATACAAGGATTGTGCGAGTATATGAATGCTAAGACAGGTGAAAATGCAAATGAGTTAATTGTTTTTAAGTAGGTATTTGTTGCTGTGCCTGCATTTAGACAATAGTTCGGTTCTTTTGTTTAGTGTTGACTGTTTGTTTGAATATATTATGTTAAGTTTCTCGGTTATGCACAGGTTGCAGCGTTTTGTTATTGGGGAGTAAGCCGATGCTCTGTCGATGATAGACCATTTAATGTTGTAGGGTGTGTTGCTATCTTTTAATTTCCATACGTATTTGGAGAGTACGGTGCTGTTTCTGTGTTTGTGGTTTGTGTATCGGGTTTTGAACGGTGTGTCAGTGAGCCCGATGTAGCATTTTTTGTCATCATTTGAGTAGACAGTGGCTTTGTAGATGATGGATGAGGTGAGGCAATTTCCAGAGAGTGGACATTCATCTTTTTTCCTGCAATTGCAGAGAGTTTTTGGCTGTTGTTGCTTAGCAACCAGAAGCTGTTTGTTGTGGACTTTGATTATTTATATTATTATTGTTTTATATTATATGTTCAATGAAGAACATCCCTTTACCATCGATTAAAGAATACAAGAAAAACCTAATCGACAAAACAGAATGTGTCTTGAAACCCATGAGATGGAAAGCTTTTCACTTCCTGAACAAAACCGCTGAGCCTGAAGAAAGAAATAAAACCTATGGTTTCAAGACTTCAAAATACACACCTCAGCTCAGATGATGTCTTAAAAATGGTTGAAGACGTGGAATTCCGCCACACGAAATGCGCTTTCCTAACCAAACTCAAGCAAGACTCAATCACCATCAACAAAGCGGACAAGCTCATCATCCCCGCCAACAAAACTACAAACTTCTACAAAGTAGCTAAAGAAGAGTACGACAAACTCATGCATGAAAACATCACCTCGTCATACGAGAAAGCAAAAGAAGGAAGCACCCACGAAATCAACAACGTGGCCAAAGCAATTGCTACAAAACTTCGAGGACCGAATGGAAACCATTGCTGAAAAAGAGGCTTTTATAACACTCAAAGATCATAAAGAAAACTTCCTAAATAAACCAAGCTGCAGACTCATAAACCCATCAAAATCAGAAACCGGACTCATAAGCAAGAACATCCTCGAGCGGATAAACCGTGACCTGCTCACAAAAACCCAAATGAACCAATGGAAAAACACCGCTGCTGTCACTGAATGGTTCAAACACATCCCATACAAATCAAGCAGCACATTCATCTCCTTTGACATCGTGGAATTCTAGCCATCCATCACAAAAAAAATGTTAACAGATGCAATCCACTACGCACGAAAGTACACCAGCATCTCTGAACACGAAGCAAA